TTACGGGACTGTGCTCACTAGTCACTAGCTTCTTGAGGAATCTTCTCCAAGTTCTAGTGGGAAGACGTGACCAGTGAAGTTCAACCTGTTCGGGTGTAGACAGTAATTACCGAAGACTGTGTATGAGGTTGCGCAACTCCGTGAATTGATCAAGTTAGACAATAACACCGTTAGATACCGGCTCAGTGGTCCGATGGTTAGGCGTTCGCCTACAGTACCGAAGCTCCTGAGGGGTTCAGGAGTCGTGGATGCGCACTGCTGATGAGTTTCATACCAGAACGAGACGGCCTTCCAGTGCTTCCAGATTTCTAATGATGGTCTAACATTGATCGATTCATTGTTTCAATGAAACTCAACAAGCTCCACACAAATATATGATGAAAACCATAATATAAACAATTGACTGAAAAGATAGAGAGAGGTATGAATGATAACTTCAGAAGAATGCATTCATTAATTTTCTCAAAGGCTAGACCATGATATCTGAGCTTGACATATTAGTAGTACACACTACAACTTTGGTTATGGAGCTTTCATTGTTGTTTGAATACTTCACTTCTCGATCTGAAGTTTTTGTTGATCGTGTTGTTCGGAAGAAGAACAATGAAGGCTCTACCACCAAAACATCTAGCTCAGAGAACGAAATACCACCACAGTTTCTTTCAAATCTGAGACTCTTTGACAGTGCTCATCGATAAAGATACAAGTGAAAATCGGACCCATCACTTTCAGTCTCATGCAACAACATTAAGACTTTAATTTACTGACCCAGTATCTAATGTTATACAAGTCTAATGACTAACTGACAGCTCCTTCTTCTCTAACTCATTAAGTTGACGTTAATGAAAATGAAAGTTTGTATTGTGAGATGGAATGATGAATTTATGTGGAAAGCGATTAAAGATACATTTTCAAAACAAAATTAGTTACAGAATAGTGTTTATTGTATGTCATCCGTTAGTCGTTTAAATGAAGATCAAATGGTATTATTTTTCATTAGTTCTTTTTGTACTTACTTACTTACTTACGCCTGTTACCCCCAATCGAGCATAGGTCGCCCACCAGTTTCCTCCAACCAACTCTGTCCTGGGTTTTCCTCTCCAGTTCTGTCCAATGTTTGTTCATTCCTCTCATATCTTTCTCCATTTCACGGCGTAATGCATTCCTTGGCCTTCCTCTTTTCCTTTTGCCTTGGGGATTCCATGTGAGGGCTTGTTTCGTGACGCAGTTAGGTGCTTTTCATAATGTGTGTCCTATCCACTTCCACCGCTTCTTCCTGATTTCCTTCTCCACTGGAATCTGGTTTGTTCTCTCCCACAGTTCGTTGTTGCTGATGGTGTCTGGCCAACGAATCCGAAGTATTTTGTGTAGACAACTGTTCATAAATACTTGTATCTTGTGGATGATGGCTTTGGTAGTTCTCCAAGTTTTCGCTCCATACAGTAGAACAGTCTTGACATTTGTATTGAAAATCCTGATTTTGGTGTTAATTGATATTTGTTTGGAGTTGCAGATATTTTTCAACTGTAGAAATGCAACCCTTACTCTGCCGACCCACACCCTCACATCTGCATCGGATCCACCTTAGTTGTCGATCATGCTTCCCAGATATGTAAATGTGTTAACGTCCTCCAATGCATCTCCATCAAGAGTGATTTGGTTGGTGCATGTTGTGTTGCATTGGAGAATTTTGCTTTTTCCTTCATGTATGTTGAGAGCTACTGCTGCAGAGGCTTCTGCTACCATAATTTGTAAATGATGAATGTCATTGATTAGTTACAGTCGAGATATCCAAGGGGGCATGATGACTATCTCATCATAGGATGAAGCTCTATGATAGTGAGCACCCACGACTACTTCAGGGATTGAACTCAGGAATTCCTGATACTCTAACTGATCTCAGCTTGTGATAACATCACCTAAATGATAACTACAATTTCTACAAGTTCTATAAACCCTGGTATAAATATTCGGTCACTCAGGGCTTGTGTCAACAAGTTCTCAAAGTCAGAACTGTTATTCAACCATTTCATACGTACGCCTATCTAAAGTTTGTGCTGATAATGTTGTTTAGTAGAACAATGAAAGCTTCACAACCAAAACATCTCAGCTCCGAGAATGAACCTTCATCACAAAAAGTTTATTAGCAACATTGTTGAATGATTAGCATACTGCACCATGAATTAATTAACTCTACGTTGAAAATGATGACTATTGGATTTTAACTCATCGTTCTAAAAATTACGGCTCTCACTATATGACCTCAATGACCACTAGCTTCGTTATCTGATGAAGTAATCCCTTGAACGCTGTTAATTAGTCTCATGACAGAAAATAAAACCTATTCATTGTTCTCTTTCGGTTTTCATGACTAAATCATAACGAAATTCACATGTAAATTAAACTGATGATGTGGCATTCAATCCTGTTCTGGTGTGAAGCAGTGCTCACCGAACACAATCGATGAGGTTGCACAGGACCATGGACTGATCCAAGTTAGACATTAACACCGTTAGATACCGGCTCACTAATCCAGAGGTTTGTAATATGCGCTCAAGACCGAAGGTTCTGGGTTCGAATCCTGTGAGTAGCAGAAGTCGTGGATGTTCCGATGAGTCGCATACCAGGACGAAACGGCCGTCTAATGCTTCTAGATTTCTAATGATGACATAACCCTAATCGATTCATGCTTTCCAAAAAGTAACTCCACAACTCTCATAATACAGATGACAAATAATGTCAACGTAAATATAATTGACTAAGTATAATCTTGTATTTATTTTTATTCAAACAAAACATTTTCTATTAAGGTACTTCGATTAAAAATTGTCAGTGCACAACAATTACCTAAACCAAGAGGTTCCGTATCAAAAGGTGATACAATTGAACCATATGTTGTGGTGGAAATTCACGGGATTCCAATCGACTGTGCAGAACAACGTACAGTCACAGCATCTGCTGGCAATGCATCAAGTTATAATGCTATATTTGAAGATACATTTGAATTTTGTGTACAGTTGGGTAGTTTAGCATTGGTACGTTTTGTTGTACTGGATGATCATGCAATTGGTGATAATTTTATTGGACAAAACACAGTGCCATTTGATTGTTTGCTGACAGGTAAAGGTTTCATTTAAATGAGTAATTTTTATGTTCTAGACTTCAATTGTGTCCTGGTTTAAAGATCATGATTGTATTATATATAAATGTATAAATGTTTTGCAGTGGCTAATAAGCTTTGATATAAGTAGACTTCATTTTTTGCACGATTTGAAATAAGTGATGTTGAGAAGTTGGAAACATCAAGAATGAAAGGTTGTTTATGTTTCACCTAAAGCTTCAGTGAATCTTCATCAATCACCAATGAGTCCTAGGTAAGGATGACAAATCTCATAGATGAATTAGTGAAACTAGATCAGTTCAGATGGTTTGGACATGCATTACGAATGCCCAACTCTCGACTGCCATGACAAGTGATGATGTGTGGTGTATGGATAGGACGCAATAAAGCTGGGGACGGCCAAAACAAAACATGACACATCAATAAAGTCAATCAGTCAGTGAGATGCAACGTAGAACTTCGTACGTAAGTACATCATCAGTTCATGTCGCCATACCACATCAGCACAAAGATGTAATTGTCAATTCAAATCCAATAGTAGAAGAGGTAGTAAAGGTATTAGAAGTAATCGGAGAGGTTAGGATTAGAAGATATTATTCAAGAAGTATGATTCAGTGAGAAAAGTTTAGAAAGTCAAAACTAGAGTTGTTGAAGAACCCAGAAGATTTGGATTTGAGAGAACACAGAGAATAAATGCACCGGCGCCATTGAGAACGATTTTGAGTCATGTCATTCTGGGTCTCTAACCATCGATTATTATCATCTCGCGGACCCCAACCAGGTAGTCGACAATTACCGACATGACTAAGTCCACTCGTCAATGACTTCATGGATTTCTGCCATGTTTTGGTCTGACGGCACCTAACTTTCTTCCATCCTACTCATACACAACAAAACAAAGCTCCTCGAGGCAGTCGGTGGTTCGGCATACGTAACACATGTCCCAACCACCTCAACTGATCAAGTTTCACCACTTCATCTATTGATCTGCAATTCTTACCTAGCACCCGATTCCTAATAACCGCGTTGCTCACTCGGGTGTCCCACGATATACGAGCAATACTTCGAAGACACCTATGATCGAAAACCGATAACCTACGAATATCTTCTTCTCTCACTGGCTATGTTTCACAGCCATAAAGTAAGACGGAGCGAACTACTGCACAGTACACTCGTCCTTTAGTCAGCAAACGGATATCTCGCCTACGTCATAAGTGACGCAGGTTGGCAAAAGCCAATCGAGCCTTCTGTATCCGAGCTGAGATTTCGTCAGTCAGCAGGCCATCGGCACTGATGAGACTCCCAAGATAAGTGAAGCGGTCTACACGCTCGACTACTTCACTCCCTATCACCAGTTCAGGTGCTGATGCAACCCAGTCTTGAAACAACATTTTGCATTTCGAGAGTGAGAACCGCATCCCGAACATGATTGCATTGTTGCTTATGGTAGTCAGAAGACTCTGCATTTTGTCAGCGTCTTCACCAAGTAGGACTGTGTCATCGGCATATTCTAAGTCGATAAACGAGCCTCCTGGTAAAAGGTCTACTCCTGAAAACTCAGACGAGGATAAGGTTATTTCTAGGAGCGTGTCTATGATAAAATTAAACAATTAGGTCACCAATAAGTGGACTGAGTCGTATTGATCGGTGTAGACTACCTGATTGTTGTCCGCGAGACAACAGCAACTGATGGTTAGAGACCTTATATGATATGGCTCAAAAACGTTTGCCGTGGTGCAGGTGCATCCATACTATGTGTTCTATGAAATTCTAATCTTCTGGATTCTTCACCACCTCTATCTCATTGAATTATACTTCTTGAATAAGATCTTCGAATCATAATCTTCTTCATTACCGCTAATACTTCTACTTTCTTTACCATTATGGGATATGAATTGACAATTGGGTTTTTGTGCTCATATGATATGGCAACTTGAACTGATGTACGTATGTACGTACGAACTTCAACGTTGTATGTGACTGACTGACTGACTGACTGACTAACTGATATCATATTGTTCCACAACTAGTCGATATCCAGTTGATGAGCCTGTCGTCCACTTTTTAAAAATATAATGTATGTTTATACTACTGAAGAATCTTATTTAATGAACATAGTTCATTTTCACGTGTATTTACTTGATTATTTATTGAACACTCGTTATTTATACAAATAAATTAAACAGCCATTGTTAGACTGTAACAATACTATTTCAAATATTGTGAACATTGATAAATTTGTTGAAATCTTTTTTCTCTCTATACTAAAAAAGTTTATTCATGAAATTTTTCCGGACAATATGAACAGTTTAAATTATAAAACAAAACATTTTGTCATTAAATTTATGCTGATATTATTATTGTTGTCTAGAAAGAACTTATAAGTCACATAACTAGATCTAAACTCAACACAGAGAAAACAACTTCAGCTGAATCATTTTACCTGAACTACAAATTTTCTCCACCATCTCAAATGCAGTTTTTACTTAGAGTTAATGAACTCTACTCCAACTGCTTAGTATATGCTTCAAACACTGATCGAACTGTTCATCTAGTCTTCGAAATCAGAGCCTGATGTGAACAGGTAGATACTTATATTCTAACAAACCAAGTTGAATGCAAAGGAATCATAGTAGTAAAAACGACAGTACATATTTATCATTTTCACACAAGAATATTCTCGAACATTCAACAGCTATCCGCTAATCGTGATTAGCTAAAAATGAGCCAATCAACATGTTACGAACATAATCCTGCATTAGACATGATTTAATTCAATCACTGTCCCGTTAAAACTTTATAACTATTATCCAAGAGAATTCATTACAGTTTATGAATTAACCTGTGACTAATATTGATGGAAGATTTTCTTTTATCATCAGTTATTCAGATCTGTTTTTCCAATTTCATATTCGACACGTTCATCTAGATTATTTTCAGCGTTGCAAGTCTATTAGTTTCATGTACGTGAAGGCTCGATAGGCTTTTGCCAACCTGCATCACTTATGGCGTAGGCGAGATATCCGTTTGCTGACTAAACGACGAGTGTACTGCGCAGTAGTTCGCTCCGTCTTACTTTATGGCTGTGAAACATGGCCAGTGAGAGAAGAAGATATTCGTAGGTAACTGGTTTTCGATCATAGGTGTCTTCGAAGCATCGCACGTATATCGTAGGACACCCGAGTGAGCAACGCGGTTATTAGGAATCGGGTGCTAGGTAAGAATGGCAGATCAATAGATGAAGTGGTGAAACTTGATCAGTTGAGATGGTTGGGACATGTGTTACGTATGCCTAACCACAGACTGCCTCGTCGAGCTTTGTTTTGTAGTGTAGGAGTGAGTAGGTTGGAAGAAAGATAGGGGCGGCCAGACCAAAACATGGCAGAAATCCATGAAGTCATTGACGAGTGGACTTAGTCATGTCGGTAATTGTCGACTACCTGGTTGGGGTCCGCGAGATGATAATAATCGATGGTTAGAGACCTTGAATGACATGGCTCAAAATCGTTCGCAATGGCGCCGGTGCATTTATGCTTTGTAAATAGGTTTGAGGTGCGTAAGTTTCGACGGCTAGCTCACCAATTATGTGGTTTGCAATGTATCACTTGTCTCGTGACGATTGGTATCCAACGTGTCCCTGGACTCTGTAATTTCCTCATCCAGACAATCGTTACTAAGTAGCGCCTGACGGTTTTAAATCAAAAGGTGAACACGAAGTGTTGAATACGTTTGTTTTTCAACACAACACAGAGTCATCAATCACTTCTTCTTATTTATCTTTTATTGATAGTGAAGAGAACAAAACCTTCCGTTTATTGTACATAAAATTAAAGTAAAAACTATCACAACAGATGTTGGTTTCATTTTCAAGGTCACTAGGTATGAAATCATAGTTAGTTATCTAACGATAATAGTAGGCAAGACATCGAAATCCGGTTTCATTTAAATTATTCGATTAATTTGAGTCGTCTTTGTGGGGAAATGTTTAAAACAAAATTATTTTCAATAAATTTTCATTTGTTCATTTTTTTTCTTACAGGTTTTCGTCATGTTCGTTTACGTAGTGATACTGGTGAACCGATCCCACTGGCTACTTTATTTGTACACATTACTATAACGACGGGAACAGATAATTCACATGGAGTAAGAGTGGAAAAATATTATTATTATTATTATTATTATTATTATTATTGCTATTATTATCTTTAGTACTATTTTGAATGTGTACTTTTTCTGAATATTACTGATACTTACTGTTGTCGAATGATTTAAAAGGTAAATGAAAACCACTGACAAGATTTATAATGATTGATATGATAACTGGTTGATTTGTGAAACCTTAATTTATTCTTGAATTTAGTTCTTATCATTATTAATATTACTACAGTTTGAGGGTATGAATGAATCACATTGTTAGACCAGTATTACAAAACCCGGAAGCATTGAAAAACGGCCGTTCCGTCCTGGTATGGGACTCATTAGCGGAAGCGTGCATCCATGACTCCCACTACACACAGGGTTTGAGTCCTGGACCTTCGGTCTTGCGCACGAACACCTAATCTCTTGGACCAGTTAGCTGGAATCTAAAGGCGTTAATGTCTAAAAACTGATCAAAATAGGGATTTTGTGTGACCTCATCCATTTGTCTTCGTCGGTACGTACTGCCTACACCCAACAGAGGTGAACTCCACTGGTCATGTCTTCTCATTAGAACTCCGAGAATTCCTTCACTAGTTAGCATTAGTGATAAACTACCCGTTTAATTTAACAGTATTTAATTTTTTTCAAATTGCAATCATGAATCATTCATTGTCAGACCACCATTAGAAACCTGGAAGCACTGAATGACCGTTTTGTCCTAGCATTTGACTCTTCAGCAGTGCGCATCGATGACCCCTCACTTGCAGGATACGAACCAAGGACCTTCGGTCTCGCGCGCGAATGCCAAAGCCTTAGACGTCTGAGCCAACACCTAATAATGTAAATGTCCGACTATGCCTGAAGGTCCTTGGTTAGATCTCCACCGATGTGCACTACTGATAAATCCCATCTTAGGACAAAACAGCTGTCCAATGCTTCTTCTAGGTTTCTAATGGTGGTCTAACAATGATCGATTCTCGATTGCAATGTAATACAACAATCTTCCTAACTCGATAATGAAAAATTTAATTTTTTTCACTTATCTACACACAGCATAAATCCTTCTCGGTTTTTTCTGTAATTAACCTCTTGAATTACATCAGTAAAACAAATAAACATGATCATAGTTAATAATTTAATTTTTATTTGTTATTAATCAATAATTTATCAATGACACTTGATGAACAATTTTTCAAAACTTTCAATGTTACTCTCTTTTCCGACAATCAACTAGGAAACCAATACTGGTTTACTTCATCGATGGCGTTCACGTAATCGTCAACAATTACAGTTGAAAAAAGTTGGTGTGCCTACATTCGATGAAATATTCAAAGTAAATCGAATATTCTGTTTGTTTTGTTTTTATCGACTAAAATTGTTTGCTGATTTTAGACGTTAATTTATATTTAGGCTGATAATGTCAATTTTAATGGGACCTTGAAAATAAAACGTAATCAGAATTGATGTTCATTTAAATAAGGAGAAGAGTTTTATTTTATCTTTTGAAATCATGAATCGATTAATGTTAGACCATCATTAGAAACCTGGAAGTCTCGTCCTGATATAGGACTCATCAGCAGTGCTCATCCACGACTCCTGAACCTCACAGGACTCGAACCAAGGACCTTCGGTCTTGCACACGTCCGCCTAACCTCTGGACCAGTAGGCCGGTATCTAACGGTTTTAATGTCTGTAGACTGATCAGAGTTAGACATTAATACCATTGTGAGGTGCAGAAGTCATGGATGCGCATTGCTAATGAGTCCTATATCAGGATGAAACGGCCGTCCAGTGCTTCCAGGGTTCTACTGACTGTCTAACATCAATCGATTCATGATTACAAATGTGTAACTTAACAATCTTCACAACCCTGTAATGTTTTATTTATCGGTTGAACTTATAGAAAAATAGATTTTATTTTCTCGATGTTGTTGAGTGAAAAAATATATTGATAACTACAATATCAAACGTAACTGTTAGGTATTTGAATGGAGTCAGTTGAAAGCGCTAGATCTAAACTTTATTTATTTCCATTGAAATGATGAATCGATCAATGTTATACCACCATTGGAAACTTAGAAACATTGGAAGGCCGTTTCGTCATAGTTTGAGATTCAGCGATAATACTCATCCATAACTACGAACATGAGAATGAAACATAGGACCATCGGTCTTAAGTTTGGACGCTTACACTTCTAAGTCATTGAGTTAACATCCAACGATGTTATCGTTTAACTTCAGTCAATCCACAATATTGCGCGATCTCATCCATTGAGTCCGATGGGTAATTGCCATACACTGAACAAGAGTTGAACTCCATTGGTCACATCTAACTAGAACTCGGAGAAATTTCCTCATGAAGCTAGTCACTTGTGAACAAAATAGTAATTGTGATTACAGAGTAGTGAGGATATTCTAGTATTTGCCGAGCTCAGGAATCGATCAATGCTAAACCATTATTAGAAACAAGAAGCACTGGATAGCCGTTTCGTCATATTAAGGTACTCATGAGCAGTGCGCATACTTGACCGTCGTATGCAATGTACAAGCAATCAGGTAAGAACTCGTATTCACTATGCAACTGGAATCCATATCATAGTCAAAGACTACATAATATAGCTACTTGGAGATTATAGTTTCAAAATGAAAGTGTTGGGGATGTTAGATCCCCGAAATTCGCTTGATAATGCCTTATTTTGGTTTTCACGTTTTGCCAGCATGGGTCGATCAGATGACCTTGAGATTTCAATTCCCACCAGGAAAATCCATGGCTGTGATTGGCTGCTGTGTATTTTAGTGTGCTATTTTCTTAACTGTCTCAAGGACGTTTCTATGTTGTATAAATAACCGAGAGTTGTTTGCTTGATTGTACTGTGATTGCTGGGTGTTTGTAGAATATACTTTCTACGCTTACAAAGCCTTTTATTTCGACTTTGGATATTCAAGTTAGCCTACCTGGACGCTGGTAAAAGTCTCGTTCGCGTAAATCGACTAAGGTAAACTCGTAATAGCCTCAAGCATACTAAGTGACGAACTATCAGAAAGAAATATCTTTCTACCTAGTGGTAAGTAGCACAAACACGGATTTTAAAACGACGCTCCGTCAACTGTTTCAAATTTCGAGCTATACACTACAATAGTCTTATCAGTATGTTTGTCAAAACGACATCAACTGTTACTATAGTTATCAATGATAACAGATTGAAAATTAGCAATCTATTCAATAAACTTGTAAACAGACATTTTGAAAATCTTATTTTACAACATTTTAGGATACATTAGTCTTATTTCCTTGAAACGACTCGTCATTTAGGACAATACACAATTTATTTACATTACCACTCCCACTGTTCAAAAAATTGCCTAAAACTCCTCAGACATTCGACCAATTAACTGCTCTCAACGTCTTATTTTTCGAGCTTTGTCAGAGACTCTTACCGCTTAGGTGAAGGTAAAATTTTAAGGAGCTACATTCGGACAAATTGGAACAGTGCACAAAGCTGTATACATTGAACAGATCATACAAAAATTCCACTTCTACTTCAAGAGAAAGTGCTGATCATGTTTTCCAGTTCGGAGAACTCAATCTCACCAACATTTATTTGATTTGTGCATCAATGATTAACTAATTCACTAGGTATCTATCGATTATGTTCAAAATAGTCTTATAGATTTGTACTTTGCAATTCCTTGGATCCTCCAACTAATCAGTCTACATTGGCATATATATATATATATATATATGCATCAAATGTAGGCTTAATGATATTGTTTTTTAGTTATACCTCTTAATTTATTTAGACTGTAGTTATCATTTGAAATTTATGGTGTTCATTTTGTTTTATATGAAATGAGTTAGCTAGATGTACCTATACATCTCAGCCAGTTAGTTAGCTACAATGTAGAACTTTGTACGTAGGTACGCACATCAGTTCAGGTTGCCATACTACATACATTACTACAGAGACACAATTATCAATTCACATCCAATAGTGGTAGAGGTAGTGCAAGTATTAGCAGTAATCGGAGAGCTAAGGGTTCAAGGATAATATTCAAGAGGTATAATCCATTGAAATGAATTTAAAAAGAGATAAAGAAAGGTGATGAGGAGTTCGAAAGATTAGGATTCGAGTGAACACAAAGAGTAGATGAACCTGCGTGTCACTGCAAACGATTTTAAGCCATGTCATTCAAGGTCTCTAGCCATCGGTTACTATCGGCTCGTAGACCCAAAACCAGGTAGTCTACACCTACTAACATGACTCAGTTCACTTGTTGGCGACTTCATGGATTTGTGCCATGTTTTGGCTTGTCTGCCCCCGATATCTTCTTCTTCCAACTTATTCCTACACCAGAAAACATAGCTTGTTGAGGCAGTCGTCCGTTGGGCATACTTGACACATGTCCCAACCATCTCAACTGATGAAGTTGTTCACATTGAAACTTGAACCACTTAACTTTCATTTCAAATGGTAATACATTATTCACTAAGCTCCTGAGTTCAGATAGCCATTAATTTGTTCAACTGTTAGGATATTCATCCAATATCCTAAAAGAATTATTGGTCAAATCCTATTGGTCGATTTCTGTTGGTCAAAATTATGGTCGTTATAACTGTCAAAGTCAGATACTTCAATGTTGTTTCTTATTGGTTGTCAATTCAAATGTTACTTCCTATTGGTCGTCTTAACTGTCAATGCCACAGAATTCGATGCTGTTTCCTATTCGACCAAAATGTATAAATACGCATTATCTGTAACGTTTATTGACCACGACCAGGACCAGGGCTCGGTCCCGGATCCCTAGTCCGGGATCCTGATTCTCTTCTGAATTCGGACCTCGTGCTTTCTGGATGCTTGTAGAATACACGTTCTACTTCACATCATGTCTTCTTATTTTAACTAAATATGGGGGTTGGAATAATCGGATTTGAGTAGTATGTCGTGTCACCGGATCCTCGATCCTCGCTCTCGTTTTCCAAGTAGGTAAACTCGTAATAATAGTTCAAGTATATCAAGTTGACGTGTTTACGTGCAGGCGTAACATCAACATATATAAGGCTATTTGTAACAATGATAAAATTTCAGTTTTTTTTAATTGCTGTGCATAAATTTGTAACAAGAACAAACTGTATGAAAAAGATTATTTAAGCGTTTATATTTTACACTAAAATCATAAATGAATCCTCGTTAGACAATCATCAGTAACCTGGAAGCTGTATGGTATGAAACTCACCAACAGTGTGCATCCACGATTCTTGAAACTCGTAGGTATCCAACCCGAGAACCTCCGGTCTTGCACGTGAACGCTTAACCTGTAGATCACTTAGCCAGCATCCAACTGTGCTGATTTCTAAGTCTGATTAATCTATAAGGATCTCTGAACAGGTTAGCATCACTTATATTTAATAACGCTAGTGTTTAAAGTATTATGTAAAGGGTTTGATTGTGAGTATGAACACACCGACAATGGTATCAAGGTAGAGCCAGTTAACGAATCCCAGATATAACAAAGTAGGCGTCTTTTATCCTACTGATAGACGCAATCCATATTTATGAAGTTTAAAATACTTCACTAGCTTCTTTTTTCATAACTTCAGGCTACTACAGGAACATTACGTCAAGTATGTGAACTTCGAACATCCGTTCTTGCTAGTTTTGATAATTTTCGACGATTATGCGGTGAAACATCAACACCTTTATCAATGAATCAATGTATACGTGCATTGTCTACACGTATTGCAACTTCATTTGGTTCACCTGACCTATGGCCTGTACGTATGCGTATTCGACCAGAAGATGAAATGCCACATTTAGAATTACAACAAAATTCATTCATTGGATCCGGATCAGGACTAAGTGTTTATTCAAGTTTAAATACACTTGGCGAGACCGCATCACATCATCATCATGGTGGTACATTTGCTTCAGCATCATTAACTCGTCGTAATTCTTCGTTGAGATTTTCTCCCTCACCTGGATTACATCGTTCACCTTCATTGATACTATCACCACGGCTATTTTTAAGTAGACGATTAAAAACCAACTCTAAATCAGTGATTGATGAAGATTCCACTTCAGCATTATCGATTGATATTATGGGTTGTCATGGTGATGGCAATAATAGTACTCACAGTGTACCAGAACATTCACCGACTACTTCAACCAATAATATTGCAAGACGACCAAGTATACATTCAAGTAGTAGTAGTATTTCTTCATTTTCTATTGGACGTTTGGATAAATTGAAAAAAACTATTAATGAATTTGAAAATGTAAGTTATTTTTTTTTTAATTTCCAGATGATTATGGTGGGGTTTTTTTGGTCTTTGAAAGCCAGTATTGAGCACATTGGCACAGTGCCTATACTGTGGACGCTGTCGATTGAGCCGGCCTCAGACTTAAGCCTTGTCTAAAATGGCGCGCCCAGTTCACCAACTAAGCGCCCATCACTCTTCCCAGTGGTGGCTGTTGGTGACGTTAGATCCCCAGAATGCACTTGATAAAAGTCCTAGTTTTAGATTTTGTGTTTCCGCGAATGGGCTGGATCAGTTGACCTTGAGATTACATTTCTCACTCGGAAAATCCGTGGCTGTTATTGTGTTATTGATGTGTTATTTTAGCACGCTATTTTTGTGGCTCTCTCAAGAACGTTTCTATCATGTAAAAATAAACTCATTTTGTGTGCTTGTGGAGCTCATATTTTCTGCGCCTTATCAAGACTTCTTGCTCTACTTAGTGGGGCCTTGGGACGCTCGGATTAGAGTAGCCTATCGTGTCATTGAATCATTTGTCTTTGCTCTCGTTTTCCGGATAAAGTGAACTCATAGTAGTTTCAAGCATGTGAGTTGACGGGCATAACAGTGACCTAGTGCTCTACTCACTGCATTGCTGACAGGGACAACAAAACTCCAGTATCATTATCTTTCATCTATTAAATGTTGAAATTTATCAACTCTTAGGTTCCTAACAAGTAAATACGTTTATTTTACCATGAATAATAAAGGCACTTGACTTTGTATGTTTTAAATCAAATTATACGGTTTTTCAATAGAAATATAAATCAACCAATAAACATCATATCCAAGTCTGTGACTTTACGTTCCAAGGTGTATATGATAACTCGTAATATATGGTGTAACTATCATTCGATATAAATAGCCTGAATATTTTTCCACACAGTTGACAACATGAGTTGTGTATTTTCAACAGGCCTTGAATTTATCCATCATGTACTTAAAGATTTGGAGCCAATGGACTATTATCGTTCAGTGTGATGCATAAGAAATGTTATCCAACTCTAGGGAGGGAACATTTCATAAACGGTGAATATTTAAAAGCTTTTATATAATATATGACTTGATTTCAAATGCATGAAAATGTTCCTCATCGTTAACAAAGCAACAAAAAGTACATAGTAAATGCTGAAATTATTATCACTGAAATTATTACACTACTTTTAAGTAGAGTTAGTAGTCAAACTTTAAAAATGACATTTTTCCGTTTTTACACATTTGAAATCATTAATCAATCATCATTGTTAGACCACCATTAGAAACCTGGAAGCACTGGACGGCCGTTTCGTCCTAGTATGGGACTCCTCAGCAGTGCGCATCCACGACTCCTGCTCCTCGCAGGATTCGAACCCGGGACCTTTGGCATTGTAGGTGAACGCCTTACCATCGGACCACTTGGCCGGCATCTAACGGTGTTAATGTCTAACTCTGATTGATCTAGGGATTTTTTTGCGCGACCTCACCCATTTGTCTTTGGTAGTTACTGCCTACACCCGACAGGGTTGAACTCCACTGGTCACGTCTTCTCAACTAGAACTCCGAGAATTTCCTCACGAAGCTAGTCACTAGTGAGCACTGTTACATTATATTAGGGCACAGTTTTGGAGGTTTGCGTTTTTACACATTTGAAATCATTAATCAATCATCATTGTTAGACCACCATTAGAAACCTGGAAGCACTGGCATATTCCTGTGGAAACATCTGCTTAACATGAATCCAGATTCAGAATTAAGAAATTTTCAGCTTATTTGAAACAGGCTAAAATATTGATCTCATAACTGTACTACTCTATAATATTATTGCATTTAAAGTTCTAAAGTTCTCTAATAGCAGCAGACTACTGTAGAGTTTGATACACTAGTGTGACCTACGAAGAGGTCAAGATCAGACGGAATTTATATATATATATATATATATATATTTGTAGAATATACTGTTTACTTAAAAAACATGTACACATTATCTCTAAATAACCATTTGCAATACAGGCAGGTTATTGACTGTCTTCTAGCACACCTCTTCTGGCCTTCACTACACTCTGATCACGACATGTATTTCAAATTCCAGATACTTCTCTTTTTGATATCAACTCCTGAGCGACACTACACCTTTTAAGTAGAGTTCATCAAACTAGGAAGAAATTTTTCGTTCATCCTTTCTGGATTTCATTGGTTATTTCAATAAAGCCATTCCATCATATGAAACTTCGTATGAACTTGAGTACATTGATAGTCCAACTTTCTTGTATCGCATTAAAACAATTTAAAACTGAATTGAAATAGTATTAAAGATTTTTTTGACTGAACTTTGTAAACCATGCTGGGAGATGTTCACTCATTCGTTGTGTAAGTTGCCTGGAAGTACGCCCGATATAGCTATCTCCACAGGAGCAGCTGAATTTGTAAATGCACATAGAGGAGGCCAACTCAGGTAACTTATCCTTCGTTTGGGTAGACATCGCTGGTCGACTGGAGAAAGTCAATGCAAGTTTGGCAGCGTTGAATGTTCTACTAATTACTCTCATTAATCTATCCTGCAGAGTATCGCAGGCTACATCCCCGTTGAATTGTAACTTTATAAATAAAGGTTTCTTTTGGGCGGTCGAAACCACTGACTTCTTTTTTACGGCAGACATATACTTCTTTATGAATGCGCTGGGATAACCAATCTCGGTTAGTGAGTCGTTGATGAATTCCAGCTCCTGACTTAACGTATCCACTGAACAAATCATATTTGCTCTGTTAGTAGGCATCTAACCAAATTTTTTTTGTAGCGGATAGGTGTAAAACTACAAAAATGAGTGTATTGGCAAGCACTGGGGTTTTTTCTATATACGCTTCACAATGATTAAAATATTGCTTTTGTCTTATATTGAACTGAAAGTGTAAATTTATTCAAATCATTATGATATTGACTTTTAGGGAGATTTACTATTGGTCATAATTCACCTAACCTCTTTTTTATATCCTTATGTATTTTCAACATATTGAAATAATTTAATTGGACAGTTTCTAAACAACATTGAAATTTACAGCGTGGAATAAATTGCACACTATTCAACTTTGGATTCACGATCAGATTTGTCATGATTCCTCTAATGATAGAAAGATGACTAATGTTAGGGAAACCGCTGTTAAATGAGGAAGCCACTTATCATTGGTATTTAAAAATGATTGCCCAATATCATGGACTATCGGAATTTGGATACTTGCTTAGTGGTATTGTGGTGCTGTGTTGCGAACTACTTATAAGTAGTATATAGCGTGAGTGTCAACGTAAAGTCTGGTAGCATAATATGGGGGGGAAGATCAAGAAAGGAAGAGTCAGAAAACAATGGAATTTGTATGAAACGCATGAAGAGTGACAATGGATTGATGTTTGGCAACAGGAACAGTCCAGTTCCATAGGATGAACTGATCTTTTGCAAATGAACGATTTACAATATGGTTTTCCGATTTTACTGAGTAACTCTGTAATTTTCGTTAAATACAATTCGGTTGCCCCCACCTGTGTTCTCATTCACTACAGTATGAATGTTAGATGCTTGCCATGAAACCTGAAATCCCTCAGTTCGATCCTCAATGAGATAGTGGCTAAGTAATTGATATGCTTGAATGATATTACTAGTTCACCTTACTCGATAAGCGTAACGAAGATCAACGGTACAGTGACACGATAGGCTATGCTAATCCGATTGTTGTAGGCACCACTAACTAGAGCAAGAAGTTTTGATAAGGCGTAGAGAATGTATTCTACAGGCACTCAGAAAATACGAGGTTGGTAAGCACACAACCTAAGCTTATATATACAGTGATAGAAACGCCCTTGAGACTGGCACAAAATAGCGTACTAAAATAATCAACCAATGACATTCAAAGATTCTCGAGTGAAAAATGTAAGCTGAAGGTCAGTTAAGCGTCTTTGGCGCAAAAACAAAAGAATTCAAAAGTTCAGAAAAAAAATTACAAAATTAGGACTTTTTCCAAGTGAGTTCTGGGGGATCTAATGTCCCCAACTAGGATTGAACAACTAACTACTTTCTATCTTCATATCATATCAGGCTTTTCCCCAACTTTGATCATTTCGTAAAATGCATTGTGAAAATCACTCTTTATATATGCATGCGAATGCAGTCATTGACGACTATGAACAATCATTCTACATATAACAACTATTTAAAAGTACGTACATATGAAGAGATTATTTTGAAAAATGCATTAAATCCTACTTATATTTATTGTAAATAAACAAACTAAATACTGTTCAACAGATGATGGATGATTAAAGATCATTTTGGTTGATTGCTTATTGAAAGCGTAAAGACAAATAAATAAAAAAGAACCTATTACAAAGTTTAAATTAAGTTTACAATGTAATTAGACACTAAATAAACAAAACAGTTTTTTTGTTGTTGTTGAAGCGTTCAATGTACAATAACCAATTTTTGTTTTGTTTTTTTGCTTTTTTGAAATTTCAAACAACTTTTGTTTGAATCTTTTTCTTATTTTTTTAGCTTATTGAATCTTGTAAAACAATGATTAAACAAGGACCATATCTTCGAGTAAAAGTATGTTGACTTTTATGTTTTTTGTTTTGAATGAATAAAATTTGTAGAGATACCGGCTCAGTGGTCTAACGGTTAGGGCGTTCGCGCACAATACCGAAGGTCCTGGGTTCGAATCCTGTGGGGTGCAGGAGCCGTGGATGCGCACTGCTGAGGAGTCGCATATTAGGACGAAACGGCCGTCCAGTGCTTCCAGGTTTCTAATGGTGGTCTAACATTGATCGATTCATGGTTTCAAAAAAAGAGATAACTTTAGTCTAGTTTAAAAAGAACTAAGCAATGATTTCGTTTAAAGTTAGGCCTCAGTAGCATAACTGCATATCCTTAATCAATATCAGTGATTGAACATAAGATTTTCCGGCTTCCAGAGTAACACTCAACCCTTAGACTACTAGTACTACTACTGTGGTGCGAGCTACTTATAAGTAGTATATGACGCGAGTGTCAACGTAATGTCTGGCAGCAGAAGATGGGGTAAGATCAAGAAAGAAAGAGTGGGAACACAATGGAATTTGTATGAAACGGATGATAGTGAAATGTCAGATAATGGATTGATGATTGATTGAAGATTTGCAAATTAACGGTTACGATATAGTTTTCCTATTTTACTGAGTAACTCTGTAATTTTCGTTAAATATAATTCGGTTGCCCTCACCTGTGTTCTCCTTCACTACACTACTACTACTACTACTACTACTATAGCTGAGGTAATAATTACTGGTTTTAAATTTGTTAACTTCAGTGATTCTGTGATTTAATCGATAAATGCAACGGTTTTTAGGTTATATATATATTATATATATATATAATATATATATATATATATATATTATATAGGTTTTGAAAAAGGGCAGGATAGTTTAACTGTTTTGTTCTAGTATGAGACTACTTAGTAATGCACACCAACAGCTTTATGTTACGTATGTACGTAAACATGTCATTGGATATGCTTGAACGATTAAGAGCTTACCTCAGTCGGAAACTGAGAACGAGGATCGAGGATCCGTAGACACGACAGGCTACTCTAATCCGGTTGTCCCAAACCCCCATTTAGTAAAAGAAGACGACTTGATATGAAGTAGAACATGTATTCTACAAGCATCCAGAAAGTAAAGAGCTCTGAGTCCAGAAAAGGATGAGGATCCTGTACTAGGGGTCCGAGTTATAAAACGTTACAGATAATGGGTCGAATAGGAAACAACATTCGAAGTATGTCACACTGATAGTTAGGGCGACCGATAGGAATTGACCAATAGAATTAGACTTACAAGGATAATTCCCTTAGGATATTGAATGATTATATCCTAACACCTTTATCAATCCTCGAACTAAAGAATGAATTTTTTTTCTTCAAATAACTCCAGTCCATCTTCATTGATCGAATTTCCCCATTCCTATTATGCTTGACCTTAACTAGTTACAGTTTCTTATTTTGAACTTTAAGGACATTTTGGAGACAGACAGACGTTCACTAGAGTCAATTATTAACAATATGATGTTATGTAGAGCCAGTTTTCTAGATAAATACCAATAATTTATTTATCCTTACAGATCAATACATTATTGTAATGGCTCGTCTATATACAGATCACTTTCTATATATTTCATATATACGACTTGTCCTGATAATAGTTGTTTTTTTTGAAAAAAAAACTCCCTACAACAATGTACATTTCAAAAGACAGTTGATAAAATAATTATACCTCAAAGCTATGAAAATATGTGAGGGAACAAACGAATGGAATGAAAGAAGCACGCTTTTTTTATAGATAAGACAAGAAAAAGTGTCAGTGAACAATTGAAACAGTTGACGTTTAAATTAGTATGAGAAGAATATGTGTTTGCAGTGTAATACGTCGTCTTCCACGGTGTGGGCAGCCGGTAGGTGACATACGCCCTCATACCTTCCCCCGGGTAACAATACATGGGACCGAATCGGTCATAATCAGTGCCTCCCTGTGCTTATGTGTGGTATCGGACAACCTTAACTGATGTATGTACGTACTGAGTTCTGGTCTGTAACTGACTGACCGTAATATGTAGCCAAACACACAGACTCATAGAAATATGACTATACTTTCAATAACAAAAATATAAACACATTGTTACAGGTTGAGAACTGATACAGTGTCTGTTAAATAAGCCAACTAAATGACTAAATCAAATTTAGCATATACAAACTTATTCATCAAGGATAGATGAAGTACTACTTACTATATAGTAGTAATATAAAGATTTAGAGTATACTGGAGAAAATCAATTCTCTTCATCTCATCATGTTTTGTTTAGTCTTGTTTTTACAGCAAACTAACATTATTAATTGTTCTGTTTGATTTTCAACTTGTAAAATGTTTGTAACACGAATTCAAATGACAACAATACAAGTATCTACTAATGGTTAGGATATAGTGTTCGTGTAACAACGTCCTTTCTCATATGTGATTTTAAGATATAATTTGATTGACATGATGAATAAATCAGAGTTAGACGACTATTAGAAACCTGAAGTCACTGTACAGTGCGCATCCACGGCACCTGGAGGCAGGAATCAAACACAGAGAGTTCAGTGACGCACGCAAACGCTTAACCTTTAGACCACTGAGCCAGTATTCAACGGTGTTAATGTCTAACTTCAATCAATCCACAATATCGCACAACCTCACCGATTATCTTCGGTAAATAACAGCACTGAACTCTAGTGGTCTCGTTTTCTGACTAAGACTTCGACAAGCTAGTTACTAGTCCTGTGTTCGATTCTCCCTTGCAGGCGTTGTGCATGAGCACCAGTGAAGAGTCCCATATTGGGATGAAACGTCCATCCAGTTCTTCCAGGTTTCTAATGTTGGTCTAACAATGATAGATTCATAATTTCAACGAAACACACTGTAACGCTTATCTCTAGGTATGCTTAAACTATTATGAGTTCACCTTAGTCGAATAACGAGAACAAAACAATAAACCAGCGTCCAGGTAGGCTACTGTGATCCGTTGACCAAATTTTATCAGCAAGAAGTCTTGATATTGATATAGAGTAGAAATCGTATTCTACAAACACCCAGTCAACACACAATGAATCCAAGTACTCAAACTGCGTCTATCTATACTCTATAGGGACATCCTTGGGATAGTCACAAAAATAGCACACTGAAATGATACAGTAACTAATCACAACCAAGGATTTTCCTGGTGGGAAATGTGATCTCAAGGTCAACTAGTCGGTCCATGAAATAAATCCGAAATAAAGATATTTATCAAGCGAGTTCTGGGGATCTAATATTCCCAACACATACATGCAATTATATAGATTGTTTATGGTTACTAGGATGTGTAGAAATGATTTGCTTGTCACCGACTTGGTTGCATGTGCTTTTATGGGTATGACGGCGATTGGTACTTCCCGGCTGATTGTCAGAAGGTGCATCGGCCTCGTGAATTTCGAAGGAACTTGGCCTTCATCACGAGAAGTCATAATTCTTCTAAATGAAGACCTAAATGCAAGAGCAGAGTTTATTTGGTTTGAATTATTCTTCCTTGTTAGCGTTGTTTTAGCGAGTTAGTTTTTTCCCGAGATGAAGTCCCCAACCCCGATCCCAACCCTCCTCCTTTATCCGGGCTTCGGACCGGCAGTAGTTCCTAAGAGTCTACAGGCAGAGTTTACAATCACATACAAAAATCACATTAGAAAATATGCGAAATCCACACACAAAAGTAGGATTTTAACAACGTAGGCAACGTAGACAATAATTAATTTAGGAATCATATTATTTATACAATGAAACAGATTGTTTGCAGTTCAAGTGAATGATTTATGGTCAAGTGTTTTTTGTGTGTTCACTAACTTGGATGGTTTGGTGTTGTGGAGTGTTCAGTAATTATTTTGAACACAATGTTGGGGATGTTAGATACCCAGAACTCATTTGGAAAAGGTCTTAATTTTGGACTTTGTGTTTTCGCGCATCGGCTGACCAGTTGACCTTGAGATCACATTTCCCACTCGGAAAATCCTTAACTCCTATTGGTTGATGAATTATTATATTAGTACGCTATTTTTGTGGCTCTCCCAAGGATGTTTCTATCATGTTTAAATAAACACAGTTCGTTTACTTTTCAACCTAATATATTTTCTGGGTGCTTGTAGAATACGCTTTCTACGTCTTATCAAGACTTCTTCCTCCACGAAGTGGGGCTTTTGGATTATTGTAGCCTATCGTGTCACTGCATCATTTGTCTTCACTGTCGCTTACCGAGTGAAGTGAACTCGTCTTAATAGTGTTAGGTTCGTCATTAGGTATGCTTGAAACTATTACGGGTTCACCTTAGTCGATAAACACGAACGAGATAATGAACCAGAGTCCAGGTAAGCTACCCTGATCTGCTGACTAATGAAAAGTCTGGATGTAGCGTCGAAAGTGTATTCTACAAACACCCAGTCAGCACAATGCATTCAAGCACACAAACGTCCTTGGGACAGTCACAAGAATAGCACACTAAAATACACAGCAGCCAATCACAACCAAGGATTTTCCTGATGGGAAATGAAATCTCAACGTCAACTGATCAACCCATGCTCGAAAACTTGAAATCCAAAATTAAAGTATTTATCAAGCGAGTTCTAGGGAACTAACGTCCCCAAACAAAAACAGTTTCAAGCATATCAAGCTAAAACATATTAGCTCAGAACTATGAGTAGTAAATAATTGAAATTTCAACAATTTAATAGACAAACAAAATGATTTTCTTTTCGGTATAGTCAAAAATACTCTTCTTTGAATTATTTCTAGTGAATTATTAACAATTATTTGATAGCTTAATGTTTCATTGATAGTTTAATGCTTCAGTTACAAGCAAGTTCTATCACCCCTTTTTTATTTTTACCTAGTTACAACAAACTCAACGAACTGCTTTAGAAGCATATACTACATTTCTGGAAGGTTTAAAAACACCGTCATCATCATCTTCATCATCAGCATTATCGATAGGCAGTACAACATTGAAAAGTTTAATTACACGTAACACTGAAACAAATACAGATAGTTTCCCAACAGAATTCAATCGATCATTGAGTGGTAGTGTAGATCAACGGAATAAATCAGCACCCAATGGTACTTCCATCTATTGGCGACGTATGTCACGTGTAGCTGACAATGTCACATGGAATTTACGCTTATTAACTGGACAAACTGAGTTGTTGACATTATTATTGAATGAATCCAATGAATGGATAAAACAAGCTAAAGAATCTAGTCAAGCTACTGGCCTCCTATTATTATCGATCAATTCAGATAATATAGTCAATAGTAATGATGGTTCACAATGTTCACCAACCAATTCTGATCAAGATCAATTGAGTATGGAGAAGATTTCATTGAGTCAACAACACCAACAACAGCCACCACCATCTTGTACAATGAATAATAATAATAATCATAGACATCAAATAGATCATAATGAATTATCAAAAAATATATTATCACCTTTGCTAGAAACTCCTTGTACAACAAATCATCAATCATTAATAACTGATTCAGTGTCATCGATTCAAACAAATTCAACTGTGAATAAATCATTTATGCGATCCAATGTTCAATTGTCAACAGATTCTAGATTGAAATCGATGCAAAATGAAACAAGAGTAATGTCACCTAGTTTATTAACAACAACAACAACAACAACAACAACAACAACAATACCTACTACTACTAACACCACCGATACTACTCATTTCAATAATAGTAGTAATAGTAGTAGTACTAGTAGTAGTATCAATCCTGTAACTAATACAACAACAGTGGCAACAATCACAAAAACTTTGCCAACTACTACTACTAGTAGTAGTGGTAGTAGTAGTAGTATGACGATGAATTATTCATCAGGAAATTTTTCTAAAATCCGTAGTCGATTTAATCAAGCATGGAAAAAATAAAAATTAAAAAAAACTTGTTCATTGTTCAATGTTAATGAATTATTATTCAAGAATGAAGCAGTCGAAGTGGTAGTAGGAGTAGTAGCATTATTAGTAGTCTACTGACATTGGAACATGTAATCTGTACTATCTATACACATCACTAACTAACATGAATCAAACGAATTTTTAGAATTAAAACAGACAAAAAACAAACCCGAAACCAGACAATTTATAATTGCGCACTATTTAAAACTAATATTTATAGATGCATATATATATATATATATATATATATATATATATATATATAACCAGTATATACTTTTCGTACAGAAACAATCAGTTTTTTAAACAACAACCTATTTGTGATATTAGCATAATATAAAAGAGTATTCAAATTGTATAGAATTTCTAATTTTGTTAAACTGTGTGTATCTCGATTTCTCTATCTCTCTATCTCTCTCTCTATATATATATATACCTATACATGTATACATTATTCAAATCAATGATGTGTTTTTGGGTGTGTGTGTGTGTGTGTGTGCAGTTATTGTTGTATTCACTACAATAGATTCATTCGTTTGATGATGAGATTGTCGGTTTGTATGTTTGTTTGTGTGTTTCTTGCATATTACCCCCGTTTGTTTTTTCGTTGTATGCATGAATTATCATTGTTCAACAATTATCCATTAATGAATGACGCTGTTATCATCAAATAAGATGTAAATGTATACAACCAAAACACATTTTTGTAAACAATTTTATTTCATAAAAATGAACGAACATTGAACGAATGAATTTCTATCGGTTAGTAGTATATCTCTGTATATATATAGATAGATAGATAAAGAACACAATAGATATGATTATTTTTTCTTAGTTGGCGTTTTTTTTGGAAAGTTAGATTTCGACGGAATGGGGTCGCCAACCCCATGTTCAACCCTCCTCCTTTATCCGGGTTTGGGACCGGTAGTAGCCCCGAAGGTTCTACTGGTGGAGTAAGGAAGTATGCACAACACAAACTATTAAGATCTCACACTTACACGCACACATACACACACAGATATAGATAATGACACTGCTAGATGTGTTACACTTTCTTTCCTTAAACACAAACAGATCTCATAAATACAGTATTAAATTTACTTATGTGGAATAAAAAATCGAAATCTTTTTTGTTTGTTTTACTGATCAGATTTTGTTTCTGTCTTTTTCGTTTGTTTCAATTCAAAAAAAAACAGACAAACATGAATATGGAGTAGTTGGCATTTTTACTTTTCCAATTCGATATTTATAATCTTTATTATTCCTCATTCTCTGTGTGTGTGTGTGTCTTTCTTTGTCAATTCATTTCTATATGATTGAAGTTTTTATTTAGTTTACTTTCTTATTTGTGTATTTTACATATAAAATAAAAACGCCCAAAATGTTATTTGTAATTGTATTGACGACCATTAGATTGACAAACAATTCATTTGTTCAATAAATTATAGAGTACATTGTACACATATTGATTATAATTAATACACATATAAAATGTGTTTTGTTGTTAAAATATCAACGACTTATTTATATTTTCGGTTGAATTTATGCTGACTTTAGATTACCAGAAATCACTTGGATAAAGTCTCAATTTTGGATTATTTTTTCAAGTTTTCGCGCATAAGCCGCTTATTCGACCTTGAGAGTACATTTTCACACTCGGAAAATCCTTGATTGTCATTGGTCAGCGGATTATTTTAGTGTGTGTCTTTCCCAAGGACGTGACTATCATTGTATAAATAAGCTTATGTTGTGGTGTACTTGTCGACCTCGTATTTTCTGGTTGCTTGTAGAATAAATACACTTTATACGCCTTATCAAGACATTTTGAAATAGTTAGCCAAGTCTGGAACAAACGGATTGGAACAGGCTATCGTGTCACTCACGGCATTATTTATCTTCGCTCTGGTTTAACGGAGTAAGGTGAACTCGTAATAGCATTCAAGCAGATCAACTGACTAGCAAATAGATTCAACGGTTCATTTATTTAAAATATGAAGTAAAAAAATTTAATGATGGATGGTAAACGCAAAAAAAAGATTATTTCCTTTTCTCTATTTATTGTACTCTTCTTAATAATCAAACATTCATTTTACAGGTAGAATTAATCTATACATGTGTTTGTTTGTGTATGTTAAAACTTTAAGAAAAGTAAACAGAGAAAAATTCACTTAAATCACTTGACAAAATGATTCCCCATTATTTGTTGTTAATTTTTTTCAAAGACCAATTACAACTGTTTGTTAACTTATCAGTCAGTTAGTTGTATGTACCTACATCAATTCAGGTTTACATACCTCATTAGCACAGTGATCAAAACTGTCAGTTCAAATCCCATAGTGGTAGAGGGAGAGAGGTGATGAGGAATTTAGAAAATTAGGATTTCAGTGAACACAAAGAGTGGATGCACCTACACCATGACAAACGATTTTGAGCACTGTCATGCAGGATCTCTAACCATCGGTTTCTATCATCATCTGATCTTGTTGTGGCGAGTTCATGTAAATGTGTGCTCAGTTCAACGTTGTTTATGACTGACTGACTAACTAACTGACATAATGGATCACTATCAAAATCAATAAACCGGTGGGGAAGCTATGCAACACTGAGAAAAATTGTTCATATTAACTGAAATAATCTGAGGTGAAGCCTGATTGCGAAAGAGTTTATACGTATGGTGCTGATGTAAACAACAATGATTTCTTTGCACATAATCTCGTGACTAACTGGAATACGACAGTGTTAGCATAGTCTTCTTTCACTTGTACACTAGTCCATACGAGACTACTAGATTCTGAATTGGACAGTTCTCGGGCATTACTAGTTAACATATAGAGTACAGTTATTGTTAATCAACATTGCACCAGTAATCAGTTTAAGGAGACTTAGCAAGCATCGTGATCAGATCTCAGAACTCGTGTATGATAACAAATTGAAGTTTTTGCGATTTAAAGTAGTAGCTAAGTGGGAGATCATGGTTAATTAGTAACCTGAACACGACAGTCGGAAAGTAACATCCGCCTCCATACCCATTAAAGCACATGAGACCAAATCGGTCAAAAATCAAATTCTTTCAACACCTCCTAATAACTCTCTTGTTGTTAAGTTATAGATATTTTTTTATACGATGAAGTAAGTATTGGAGAACGGTGAATAATAATCTAACAAGAATATATATATATACATGAAAATATTAGATTCTGTGTTTTGTTCAAATAAACAACTTTTTTGTATCAACAACTAATTCAACAAACTAGAAGATTTGTGTTTTTTTACCAGTCACATGTAATAAAATATTGTTTGAACAAGAAAATCAAACTACATATCGATTAATTGAATGTTTAACTAAATGAATCTGCGTAGTTAGTGAAAATTTCCAGTCAATACTGTTAAACATATTGGTCTTCTTAAAAAAAAGTTAGATCTGTCAATACTTGTTACTTAAATAGAATAATGTTCATTGAACGAATGGTTGGTGAGTTACTTCCTGAGTTTTATAGTCATTTAATGTTATGCTCGTCAACTGATTTGCTTGAAACTATTACGACGAGTTCATCTTACTCGGTAAACGATAGTGAAGACAAATGATACAGTGACCTGATAGGCTACTCTAATCCAACAGTCCCAAGACCCCAATAAGTAGAGGAGGAAGTCTTTATAAGACGTAGAAAATATATTCCACAAGTACCCAGAAAATACAAGGTCCACAAGCACATAAATCGAGTTTATTTATATACATGATAGAAACATCCTTGGGAGAGTCACAAAAATAGCGTACTAAGATAACACATCAACCAATGACGTTTAAGGATTTTCCGAGTGGGAAATGTCATCTCAAGGTCAACTGATCGACTCATGCGCGAAAACGAAAATTCCAAAAATTAGAGACCATTATCAAGTGACTTTTGGGGATCTAACATCCCCGACATTTAAAAGTAACTAATATACAACAATAGTCTGTAGATAACTGATTATCAAAATACCTTTCAGTGTGACTCAGGATCTTACTCTGATTCGTACGAACAAGTGAATATATGGCGAATTAAATTTTTTCTTTGATTTCCGCAGATCATTCATTCAATTTTAAGCGAACCGCGTTTGTGAGAGACGACAATGATTACAAAACCCAGTAGGGTTTAGCGGCCCATGACTTAACTCCAATATGGACGAATGATCGAGTAGGTGATGAAATAAGTTCTTCCTTTCCCTCTCCGTATATCACATAATTAGGCGAACTCCATTTGTACAACGGTGGTAATAAGAAGCCAAATACGGTTTCGCGGACGAGAATTTATTTCATGCCTTCATTTAAACAGACAGGTATGAGAACGAAAAGCGTACAGACAAAGCGAGTCAGAGTCAAATGCAGCGCAGAACTTCGTACGTAAGTACATCACCAGTTCATGTTGCCATACCAGATCAGAACAGAGAAGTAATCGTCAATTCAAATCCAATAGTAGAAGAGGTAGTAAAGGTATTAGAAGTAATCGGAGAGGTTAGGATTAGAAGATATTATTCAAGAAGTATGATTCAGTGAGAAAAGTTTAGAAAGTCAAAAATAAAGGTGTTGAAGAACCCAGAAGATTAGGATTTGAGAGAACACAAAGCATAAATGCACCGGCGCCATTGAGAACGATTTTGAGCCATGTCATTCTGGGTCTCTAACCATCGATTATTATCATCTCGCGGACCCCAACCAGGTCCACTCGTCAATGATTTCATGGATTTCCGCCATGTTTTGGTTTGGCCGCCCCTAACTTTCTTCCAACCTACTCACTCCTACACTACAAAACAAAGCTCGACGAGGCAGTCGGTGGTTAGGCATACGCAACACATCTCCCAACCATCTCAACTCATGAAGTTTCATTACTTCATCTATTGACCTGCCATGCTTACCTAGCACCCGTTTCCTAATAACAGCGTTGCTCACTCCGGTGTCCCAGGATATACGAGCAATTCTTCGGAGACACCTATGA